TCCTCGGAAGGAAGATGGGGCAATCTACTTCCATTAGTGATATTGCCTTGGAATCCCAAAGAGGGGTCACTATGAGTCGGGTCCGACTCGACGGCAAAAACAACAACAACAACAACATATATATATATTATATATTTAATTTGTGCTACTTATTATCAATGTAGGAGAAATATACCACTTAATCAAGAGCTGGAGTGTAGCTTTTGGCCTTTATGTTAACTAAATTATTTGACTTAGATAAGCTATGTTGTTGTTATTGTCAGGTGCCGTTGAGTCAGTTCCAACTCATAGTGACTCCATGTACAACAGAACAGAAACTTCCCAGTCTTGTGACATTCTCACAGTTGTTCTGTTTGAGCCCATTGTTGCAGCTGTTGTGTCAGTCCATCTCATTGAGGGTCTTCCTCTTTTTCATTGACCCTCTGCTTTACCAAGCATGATGTCTTTCTCTAGGGACTAGTCCCTCTTGATAATATGTCCAAAGTACATAAGAAGAAGTCTTACCATCCTCACTTCTAAGGAGAATTCTGGCTTTATTTCCTCCAACAGAGATTTGTTATCATACTGTGAAATAAGGCTGTTAATACTGCTGTACCCTTAGAAAGCAGTGAATATAATACAATTTTTGGTTGCATTAGCTCACTGCATATAGAAGGAAATGTTACATATTTGGAATACTCTGTGCAAGAGCAAAGTTAAATTTCCTTGAGGTACAAATGTAGTTAATACATTTATTTTAAAAGAAATAGGGGGAGCTGCTGCATTGTAAATTTTGGTCAATGACATGAGACAAAGTATATGTGAACTGCTGTATGAAAAGTGAATTTACTCTGTAAATCTTCACCCAAATCCTAATTAAAAAAAAAAAAGAAATATATTTTCCCATTGAAGCTCTGGTGGCACTGTGTTAAAGCATCTGGCTGCTAACCAAAAGGTGGGCAGTTCAAACCCACCAGCCACTCCATTGGAGATAGATGAGGCAGTCTGCTTCTATAAAGATTTACAGCCTTAGAAACTCAATGAGCAATTCTACTTACTCTGTCTTATAGAGTCACTATGTGTCAGAATCAACTCAGTGGCAGTGGATTTGGTTGGTTTTTTGTTTTGTTTTGTTGGTTTTACCCATCTAGTGTCAAAAGCACAAAAGTCCAAGACTGAAATCCAAAAAAGATTCAATTCTGCCGTGAACACAATGTGTTTGCCAGCACCCTCATTCTGGAAATTCTCTTCTCCCTTGGCTTCACTGACTACTCTGTCCGTGTTCTCCTCCTTCTTCTAGTGTTCCTAATTTCTCAACCTCCCTGGGTATTATTAAGCTTTTAATGCACTAGGATGCTAACCACAAGTCCAAGTCCACCCAGAGGTACCTTGGAAGAAAGACCTGGTGATCTACTTCTGAAAATTAGCCACTGAGAACCCTATGAAGCACACTTCTACTTTTACACACAGGGATCACTGTGAGTCAAGAGTTAAATCAACAATAACAGCAACCCACCTTAGATGTCGGGGAGCCCAAGTTTCTAACCTTGGCCAATACTGTTTTCATTGTATAAACACTCCCAGTTGGAAATGCCATGGATAGGGACAAATTTAAATCTTTAGCGTGCATCCTTCTTCTGAACTCCTAACCCATATACCATTAGAATCACAAATGCAAGTCTTTTGTAACCATGTTCTTTCACTCTCCTATTTTTCCATTCTCCTTTTATCCCCTTCTACGTGTCCTGCATTCCCTATTTCAGTTCACAGATCATTGTCTAACAAGTTGCCCAAGATAGTAATTATATGTTTATTCCTTAATCCTTCTATGTTTCCACTGACTCAATTGCTCATTTTACTTAAGAAAGTCTCTTTTTATATCTTGTGTCCTCTTTGCAATCAATGTCATGTTCTAGCTCTCATCATCTCTTACTTAGATGATTGAATTCTGTATCTTTAAATTCCATTATCCAGTCAGTTTACCTGGCCTATCATAGACACTGCATTTTAAATATTTGTTTAATAAATGAATGAAAGAATGAACAATTTCTTCACTGTTACTTCTGCATTCTCCCATCTCTTCCAACTCCAGTTCAGCCTCCTCATAGGATCTTTCTAAAGCATAAATTTCATTGTGTCGAATGGCTCCCAATTACCTAGAGAACGAAGTCTAATGAATATTGTTGTGGTTAGGTGTCATCAAGTCCATTTTTGACTCATAGTGACATCATGTGACGGAGTAGAAATGCCTCATATGGTTTTCTAGGCTGTAAGTATGGAAGATCAACAGGTCTTTCTCACACAGAGCTGCTGGGTGGATAGGAAACACCAACATTTCAGTTAGCAGACAAACGCTTATCCATTGCATCACTGGGGCTCCTTATCTTCCTAGCGTAGCTTAGCTCTCTAACAGTAGCTTCCATCCTCCAAGGTATTTGATACCTTCTATCCATCACCTAAATATGCCATCTTTGATCTTAACCTTTGCAAATGCACTTCTCTCTGCCTGGATCACCTCACCTTATCTGCCTGCTAAACTCCCAATCAGCCCTCAAGTCCCAACTCATGTGTTACCTGTCTTTGTAGTTGTCCCTGAGTGTCTATTACCCCCAATTCCTATGAAGCTGAAGAAATTGCTCTCAATTCTGTGCTTTCATAGTTCAACTTGTTACAGGTGTACAACTTATTGACAGCAATTACATTAATCAGCAGTGCAGCCTTACCCTTAATCAGTGTGATTTTTCTACCTCCATGTTTATATTTTCACACTTAAATTTCACGTATATTGTAGCAAATTACTTATGTATTTTTTTTCTCATAGAAAGGGAGGTTCCTCAGAACACAGAGCATGCTATACATATTTGAAGTCCCAGGTTCTACCACAGTGCCGGTAACATACAATGATTTGAATTTAGTTTCTTTAAAAAACAATACTTTCTGTTTTTAAGTTTTATTTTTAAACTTTTTATTTGCTTGAAAGTTTAATGAACAAACTGATTTTCTATTCAACAGTCCATACATATTTTGTTTGGTGACATCTATTGCAAAATTCCACAATCTTCATGCATTCAACAATTGGTTTATGCAATGCGCTAGGAGCTCTGGTAGTGTAGTGCCTAAGGCACTTGACTCTTAACCAGAAGGTTGGTGGTTCAAACCCACCAGCCACTCCTCGAAAGGAAGGTTGGGCAATCTACTTCTGTAGAGATACAGCCTCAGAAACCCAAGGAGGGGTCGCTATGAGTCGGAAAATGACTTGACGGTGGTGCGTTTGTTTTTTTTGTTTGTTTGTTTGTTTGGTTTGGTTTAGTGGTTCAGTGGTATAACTCTCATCTTCTATGAGGGAGACTCAGTTTCAGTTCCTAGCTAATGCCCATCACTTACAGCCACTACTTATCTCCCAATGGAGGCTGTGTGTTACTGTGATGCTGAATAGGTTTCAAAGGAGCTTCCAGACTAAGACGGACTGGGAAGAAAAGGCTGAATCTACTTCTAAAAAAAATTTAGCTAAAGAAAACTATATGGATCACAACAGTCCCATCCACAAGTAATCAGGGGAATGGCACAGGACCTGGCAGCATTTGGTTCTGTTGTATATGGGGTTGTCATGAATTGGGGGCCAACTCGATGGCACCTAACAGCAGCAACATATAATAACTAGATCTGTAGTTGCAAATCAAATTGAAGTTGGTCTTTGCTCTCATGAAACTTACAGTCTAACATCGAATTGAATGTCGTTGTTGTTGTTATGTGCCATCAAGTGGGGCCTGACTCATAGCGACTCCTCCTTGGGTTTCTGAGGCGATATCACTACAGAAGTAGATTGCCCAACCTTCCTTCCGAGGAGTGGCTGGTGGGTTTGAACCGCCAGACTTCTGGTTAGCGGTCAAGTGCCTTAGGCCCTATGCTACTAGAGCTTCTAATTTTTTATCAAAATAGTAGATGAAGATTTTTAAAAAATGATTAAGAAGTTGACTCTGTAACTTCTAAAATCCCTTCCACCCTGATGTTCTATGACCCGTGTCATTTAAAGTAGTGGCTTAACATTCTGGCAACTTGAGCATTAAAATAATGTTTTGAAATGTACTGCCTTGTATTTAAAATCTTCAACATTGAAATGTTATTTTTCTCCAGATTTATAGGAACTATTTTTAAAAAACCTTCTCCAAAAATGAGAAACACATTTAGGAAAATGTCCCAATGGGATTCAATTAATTAATAAATCAATTAAGTGGCAGAATACATGGACGTTAGCACAGACATAAGAGATTCAATTTTGACTGGAGTATTTGTAGAATACTGAGTATGGATAGAGAAGGTATGCAGCATGATTCAGTAGTCAAAAACAACTGAAAATGAAACAGCTCAA